ATACCTGGTGAGTTTTTAATTTTCAAAATACCTCAATCTCATATTTTCTATGTTTTGATAAAATTTGGACGTTATAGTTCGACAGTCTTCTTATTCATTACTTAATTTCAATTGTATATAGAAACCTTTCCTAGAAAATTCGAATAGGAAATCCATCTCTTTTCAAACTATCTCATTTTTGAATACTTATTTGAATCTTTATTACATTGAATTGTAGTCCTACTTTTTAGGCTTAAGAAATTCATCGAATCTAACGCCTTAGTCCTGCCATTTTTTTCTGAAACCTAGGAATCTAGTTTGAGTATTATGCTTTAATTAAAGTTCGAATACCATTCTCTGTCATTTATTTTTAATTGATATTTTTTAAATTTTTTTGTCAATCATTACTGATTTGTCTATTCCCGCCTATTGCCATTTACATTATCTAACTATCTCATTGTTTTTGCGTACGATCTTCTCTAGGATATAGGATATTTATCCAGAATTTTCTTCAATATTCGTTGCTGCGAATTCATAATTATTCGTGATCAGGAATTCCTTTAACAATGCAAATTATGCTAACTGTTCTTTAATTCTTATTCACTGAAATAATATTCATCTATACATTTACCATTTTCAATCGCTGGCTTGTATTTAAATCTTACATTAGAAGCCATTGATATTTATGTAGTCTTAATATGTGATCATTTTGACATTATAGGTGGATATAAAAGCCCATTGGAGAGAAAGGGAAAGGGAATAATTGACTTGGATAATGGAACAATACCACTTCCAGTCCGACGATGTTTCGCGTGCTCGAAGTATGTTTTCTTTCATAACACAACTTGATTGATATTACCTGTATTTTAGGCATGATTTTGTGTTATTACGTCTAAATATTTTGTCATTTTACTGCAAAGATATTGCGGTTAGAGTTAATTTCTTATTTTCGTGCTATTTTTTATATAAATGTACACGAAATGATTATAAACTAAAGAAATATATTTTAGAATCATATTAGATGGTGTCATTCGATCGAAACAATCATTTGTTTTCCATATTTCCCTTCATTTGTCACTTGAATCAACTTGAGGGCACTCTTCCTTACCAATAAATTCATTTAAAAATAATTTAATTTCATGGTTTTTTAACATATATTTCCATTTATTAACTTCAGTTCTGGTTTTTATATCTGCTCTAGGACATGTCTTCAGGCTCCCTTACTTCCATGTGACTACTGTCAGGCTTGCTTTCATCTTGAATGTTTGGACCCACCTTTATCTTCCTTTCCTCCTCGCTCTGAGCGTTGGATGTGTCCATTGCACGCCGAGCAGACGATAGACGAGTGCCTTGTCCGCTCCATCCGGCTTACTGAACGCATGCATCTCTGGGATACATTGGCAGAGGCCAAATATGACGCTCTTACCACACGCACTGGCAGCAAGTTTTGAATATCAACATTTTTTCTGTTCTCTTTATTTCAAAATTCACTCTCAACCCAAAATCCGCATTTTCTGATATTCCTTTTACTAAAACTGTTCATTTATTAAGAAAATTCATTCCAATATTTTCTGTAGAATTTCCACCCTATCCGTTTGTTGATTATAGATTGATATAGCTGAAGTGATATCAGTCTGCTTCACACGTGGATCTGTTTTAAACAAGGTTGAAATCGATATCACTTTGTTTTAATGCTAAATTTATAAATTTTAGCTTGCCGCTGCAACACTATTATTACGCTACGCTAATATTTTAACTCCTAACTACAGGATAATCCGCCTATGCAGTAATTCCTAAGAATGGATGTGATCATAATGCGGGAAAATTTTACTTTCAGAGAGTAGACTCGTGGGTTCTCTTTTATTATTGGAATTAAAATCCACTAAAGTGCTCCTAGATCAATATGGCCTATTATCGTTCTGCTTTAATTTTGATTAGAGAGGCTCTTTGCGACTGACTATTCAACTTTCATGCTGTAAGGCCATTTTTATAGCTGCACTTTAACTATCATATGTTTATGATTCATACTAGGCAAGGAAATGTATTTCTGAAAAACTTTGGATTTTCATTTTTTTCTAGGTGCAGCTGAACTGGCTGCTTATCAAGGTATTGTGTTCCGACGTTCCACAAGATCGAAAATCGAGCCTGCGACCTATACCGAATATTCCACTGCCCCAGGAGTGTCTTTGGCTCCATTGTCCTGTCCCATTGTCGATCAAACATCTGCCTGTCTAGACCCCGAAGCTACCACTGACTCAGGGACTGACAGCAATGCTCAGACTGACAGTCTAGTGGCAGACTCGTCTGGCGACGAGGTGGGTGACGAGCCAGGTGAATTGCGCTGCTCCGATGAAGAAGAGAGGGAGAGAGGAACTGTTAACAGAGATGTAAGAGTGGAGGATACAGAAGAAGAGGATGAACAGAGCAGAAATGCGGGTCATGAAATCGAGGAAGAGGAAAATGTTGGAGCCCCATTTATCAATAGTGCTGACGAACAAATTTCGGATAGCGAAGATAATTTATTGGTTGGAGTGACCAAGCCTAGGTCCGTGTACAGTCCGCCTGTTCAACTTTATCAGCGTTCTTCGTCTGCCATGAGTCGGGCTCGGGCCCCGACTAGCTGCGCTGTTCGAAACGGATCAGGCACACTCAACTGTGACTCCAAAGATCGTGGGTCAGCTACAATTGTGGAGATGAGTTCTACCAATCTACCAACCGGAGCCAGTCATGATGTGCTGTACGGACCTGATGAAGAGGCCGTCATTCTTGCTGACCTCATGCATCAGGCACGTCGCGCCAACGCCGTATCGACTGCTCTGCTTGGCCTGGCAGCTATCGACGGCCGTAGTGGTCATCGAACCATTCCATGTTCAGCAGAGACAGCTCCAGCGACCTCAATTGTCAGACCAAGGCCGGGCCAGGACTCAAGGGGCTCTAGTCACGCTGGGTACCTAGAGGCTAGTCCTTGTGTGGAAACTCCACGAGGTCTCTGGCGCTTTCACTCTAGCACATTGTCTGCTGAGGCCGGCCCAACGTTACCGGGTGCCATCGGTCTTCACCAGGAAGGGTTACAATGGCTGACTAGCGAGCAACAGTTTATTGCCTCTAGAGTTAACTCGAGCTCTCTACGCATTGTGGTAAGTCCATAGTGTCCATTTGCTTGTCTTTATAGTTCCAATATTTTCTGCATTACTACTTTGATATACCTCAATTTAATCTAAATTTTTCATTCGTAGATATGAAGATCAAGACAGCGTAGTCTATAGTCTGGTCGTATAGAGTTGGTTTGGACCTATTTTTTCTCCTTCCTTCCTTCGTTCTGCGTCCTCTGCTGTTGCTGTTATGTGTTTTCCAAAATGGGAAATTTGACTGGGTGCGTTACCAGACTACGTCTAGATCGTCAGCAAGAAGCACACCTTAGTACCAAGCTAGAATTCTTCAAAGTTACGAGTGGAATTATTTTCCCTCATCATTTCACATTGACTTGCTTTCTCAAAAGTTGTTATCATCCGGTCTACTACCAGCCCTTCATCACCTT